TAAAAAACAAACAAAACCCATTTACCATTGCAGCAACAACAACAACAAAAATACTTTGGAATAAACTTAACCAAGGAGGTAAAAGACCTATACTCAGAAAACAACAGGACATTGAAAAAAGAAATAGAGGAAGACCCTAACAGGTGGGAGCTTAGACCATGTTCATGGGCTGGAAGAATTAACATCATTAAAATGTCCATACTACCCAAAGCAATCTATAGAGTCAATGAAATTCCTATTAATATTAAAATACCAACAGCGTATTTCACAGATCTAGAACAAATATTCCAAAAATTTGTATGGAACCAAAAAAGACCCCGAATAGCTGCAGCAATGCTGAGAAGAACAAGGTTGGAGGGACCACCATACCAAATCTCAAACTATACCTCAAAGCCACTGTACTCAAAACTGCCTGGTACTGGCATAAGAACAGGCACATAGACCAATGGAACAGAAACCCCAGAAATTGACCCACATCTTTATGGTCCATTAATATTTGACAAAGCAGACAAGAGCATATACTGGAGTAAAGACAGACTCTTCAGTAAATGGTATTGGGAAAATTGGACAGGTACATGGAAAAAGAAATGAAACCAGATAAACCAACTTGCACTATACACAAAAATTCAAAATGAATAAAAGACTTAAATGTAGCCCAGCCAGTGTTGCTCAGTGGTTGAGCATTGACCTACGAACCAGGAGGTTATAGTTCGATTCCTGGTCAAGGCCCAGGTGGTGGGCTCAATCTTCTTGCAGTGAGGGGCGTGCAGGAGGCAGCCGATCAATGATTCTCATTATGTTTCTATCTCCCTCTCTCTTTCTCTCTGAAAGAGTAAGGGGAGACATCCAGAGAACCTTGCAGTAGTGCTGCTCGGGCTCCTGAGAGAGACCATCAGGAAGCTGGTTAGAAAGACAAGCCCAGACCTGCCCGGTCAGAGTCCTGCCTGGTCAAGGGTTGGGGGTGGACTCAGGACCCAGGTCTGAACAAGCTCTCTAGGTGGGGGCTACTCCTGCTTAAGTCCACGGCCACTATTGTTGGCAAGACCAGGTGCCCCAGACCCTGCTTGGTGGGCTGCAGTGGACATCCCGCTGACCAGGGGTGAGAGGAGGACAAATGTGTTAAGTTCTTGTAGAAGTAAAGTGATGCCTGGTCCTTACTAGTGTTGCTTTGTGACATGTTTTTTTTCTTTTTTCAAAAGGATGAGGACCAAGTAAATAAATCTAAAAAGATGGGGACCAGAGACATGTGTGTAAGGTCTTAAATACCCTTTCTTGCGTAAGAAAAAGTTAGCAACCCAATGCCAGTCCCCAAATGTGTCTTTGAAATCTTCCTAAGCCATGGAACCTGTAGCCCAGGAGTGCTGAGCCGTGGGATAGAGACAAGGGCCTTGGAGTGTGTAAAGTAGTGGGGAGAGGGCTTGGGAACCCCCCACCCCCCCGCCCCGCAAGGGCGGGTGGGTCTGTGGAGTCGGTGGGGAATGCTCAGTGAATGTGAACGTGGAGAGGTGGCCTGGCCTGCACTCTGGGGAGCGGGATCTGACAGGGCATTGGGTGGCAGGTGGAAAGGATTGATGAGCCGCAGGCTTTGGCTCAGGGAGGCACGCTGCTGTTTGCAACACCTTGGGAAGCTTGCCTCCAGCATTTTCAACCGAGTAACACCACTAAAATCCCAATCCATCCTGCTCACAATCACAGCTGTCTGCCTGGCTGAGCACAACGCTTAAAACCTGACTCTTGCCGAAACCGGTTTGGCTCAGTGGATAGAGCGTCGGCCTGCGGACTGAAAGGTCCCAAGTTCGATTCCAGTCAAGGGCATGTACCTTGGTTGCGGGCACATCCGCAGTAGGGGGTGTGCAAGAGGCAGCTGATCGATGACTCTCTCTCATCGATGTTTCTAACTCTCTATCCCTCTCTCTTCCTCTCTGTAAAAAATCAATAAAATATATATTAAAAAAGGACAAAAAACCTGACTCTTGCCCTGGCCAATGCTCAATGGTTAGAGTGCCTTGGGGCGTGGGCAGGAGGCAACCAATCAATGTATCTCACATTGATGTTTCTTTCCCTCCCTTCCTTACACTCCTTCATATATAAATATATATATATATGTAAATGTATATATGTATGTGTATATGTATATATGTGTATATATATATATATTGATTGATTGATTTTTTTGCAGAGAGGAAGAGAGAGGGATAGAGTCAGAAACATCAATAAAAGAGAATCATTGATCAGTTGCCTCTTACACAACCCCTACTGGCGATGTGCCTGCAACTAAGGTATATGCCCTTGACTGGAATCGAACCTGGGACCCTTCAGTCCACAGGCCGACACTCTATCCACTGAGCCAAACAGGTTTCGGCTCATTGCTGTTTCTTTCTATCCCTCTCTCTTCCTCGCTCTCTAAAAATCAATAAAAACACATTAAAAATAAATAAAAGATACAGTAAACCACTATGTTACAATAGGCTTCATTGGCTCTAGCCCTGTATACAGCCTGTACTTCCAACAAGACATTTATGCCTCTGACTTGTGTGTGTGCCCTGAGTCAGACTAGGGATAGGGTGTGTAGCTGGCAGCACTGTGTCAGAGGCCTCGTCAAAGCGGGAAACCAGAACACCCATGCAGGCCCCTTATGGAATCAGCTGTCATTGTTCTAGGTCAGGGGTTGGCAAACTCATTAGTCAACAGAGGCAAATATCAACAATACAATTGAAATTTCTTTTAAGAGTCAAATTTTTTAAACTTAAACTTCTTCTAACACCACTTCTTCAAAATAGACTCTCCCAGGCCGTGGCATTTTGTGGAAGAGCCACACTCCAGGGGCCACAGAGCTGCATGTGGCTCTCGAGCCGCAGTTTGCCGACCACGGTTCTAGGTGCTGCTCAGCGGAGCCCAATCTAGTGGGTCCATGGCTTCAACCTCCTAACGGTAGACCATCCATAAAAGGGGAGCCGGGCAAGGTGGGCGATGGCTTACGTGGTTTACGTGCCCCCGGGAGTGTGTCTCTGGCATTGGAGAGTTTCTGCAGTTAGCACCTGAGGATATATTTCTTATCCTCATCTGAGGATATATATTTAAAATATATTTGAATTGATTTCAAAAAGGAAGGGAGAGGGAGAGATAGAAACATCGATGATGGGAATCATTGACCTTGATCGGCTGCCTCCTGCACACACTCCTACTGGAGATTGAGCCTGAAACCCAGGTATGAGCCTGACTGGGACTTGAACCATTGACCTCTTGGTTCATGGGTCAGTGCTCATCCACTGAACCGTATCAGCCAACCATATACGTTTTTTAAAAAATATATGTTTTTCACTTCTTTTTTTTTTTTTTTTTTTTTTTTTTACAGAGAGGAAGCAGAGAGCCAGAAACATCGATCAGCTGCCTCCTCCACATGCCTCTAACTGGAATCAAACCCAGGATCCCTCAGTCTGCAGGCTGACTCTCTGTCCACTGAGTCAAACCGATCAGGGCTGTTTTTCACTTAAAAAAAAAGTTTTTTTTTAAATTGATTTCAGAGAGGAGAGGCGGGGGAAGAGATAGAAACATCAATGATGGGAATCATTGATTGGCTGCCTCCTGCACGCCCCCTATAAGGGATCAAGCTGGGGGCATGTGCCTTGTCCAGAATCCAAGGGTGACCTCCTGGTTCATGGGTTGATGCTCAACCACTGAGCAACATGGGGCAGGCCTGGTTGACTACACTTTATCTGCTGCTTGATCCTTTCCTGCATGAGCTCAGGCCCAGGAATTGTCCCGAGGAAGCTACCATCTCCTAGGAATCCTTAGCTGCGTGGCTCACCTTCCCTGTAAAGACTTAAAAGTAAACGGATGCAGGTTGTTGCTGAGGCCTGAGGCTTGCACTAACAGACACACACCACTGTGTTCTTCGTTTGGGGTTAACAGACGGGGAACAAGCTTCCCACCTCCGCGTGGAGGCTGCAGAACTCCAGTGAAAAAACACCCCTGTCATCCTGTCACCAGTGGTTACACCAGGCTCCTCTCCTTTCCTTGTCGCGGGAAGGATGAGCTCGCAGAGCAATTAGCATGTAATATTTCGCAATTAGCATGCTTAATGGGATTCTGAGAAGTTCCTGACATTTTCCTAAAAGCAGAGAGCACATTCATTCCCGCCCACCCTTCAGAGAGCAGGGCCCGGGGTGTTCCGCCGCGCGCCGCTCCTTCCCGGAGCTGAATATGCCTGCGCTGGCCTCTCCCCAGGCTCCGCTGGCAAATGCAGAAACTCGCTCTGAAAAGAGTTTTTCTTCTTCGGCAGCCATACGCTCCGTGCTCGGGGGATCTAACGGGAAATGGCTAAGTCCAGCCCCAGTCGCTGGGCGGAGATGGTCCTTTTCAAGTAAACAAAACCCCTCAGTGCGCCCCAGACAAGCCACACACTCGGCTCAGGTCCAACAGGAGCCCAATCTGGGAACAAGTGGAGAAATGCGTTTTCTCTCGCTCTTCGCGGGACAGAGCTGCCGCCAGCTCCCATCCCTCCGGCCCCGGCCCCGGGGTGCAGCGGGCGGTCTCCGCGCTGCAAACTCCGCGCCGAGCCGAGGTGTCATCTCAAGTTTCCCCTCCCGAGTCAGACCCCCTCCCGATCCCTCTGCGGCCGGGCACGGCCCTCGGTGCCACCCGGGTCCGGGGAAGGGAGCAGGGGCCCGCGGCTGCACCGCCCCGGCCGGCTCCGGACCGGGAGAGGGACCCTTCCGCCCGCCCACTCCGCCCGGAGGCCAGACCGCAGCCGAGCTGCCCCGGCCGCGGCCCCACGTGGCCACCTCGGAGCGGGCCGCACTACCCTGCTGAGGCCGACAGACAGCCCGCCCCAGCCACTGGCCGCTGCTCTGCGGCTCGGTGGCCAATCAGAATGCGAGGAGCCCGGCGAGGGCGGTGCCTCTGAGCAGCCTCGCTCCCGCTCCTGCGCCGCCATTGGAGGGATAGGGCCCCGCCCCCGCCTCCGGGCCCCGCCCCCTTCGCTGTTAGGTTGCGGCGGGCGGCGGGCGGAGCTGGTCCCGTTGTGCCGCGGCGCCGCGCGGCCTGCAGTCCCGGGTCCGCGCCCCGCGCCGCCCGCCCGCGCGCCCGCCATGGAGCCCGGCCCCGACGGCCCCGCCGCCCCCGGCCCCGCCGCCATCCGCGAGGGCTGGTTCCGCGAGACGTGCAGCCTGTGGCCGGGCCAGGCCCTGTCCTGCAGGTGGAGCAGCTGCTCCACCACCAGCGCTTCGCGGTACCAGGATATCCTGGTCTTCCGCAGGTAGGACTCCCGCGGGGCGACTCCCGCCGCCCGCCCTGCACCCCGCGGCCCCCGGCCCAGGCCGCCCGCCGCCCACCCCCCACGCGAGCCCCCGGGACTCCTGCCCCGGCCTCGGCCCGGCCCACCCCCTTCCTGCCGGACCCCCGCCCCGCGCCCTTTACCTCCGCCGGCCGGGCCGCCCCGCCCGCCCCTCCTCCGGCAGAACTGTCACAAGTTGCCGCGAACTAGGCCAGCGCTCCCCCGTCCCCCTCCCGCCCGGCATCCCGGCCTCCGGGCGGTCCGGTCCGCTACACCGCGGGGAGCCCGAGTCTGCGCCGCCCCGACGCGCCCGCCGAGCTCCACGTGTCAGCCTGGGCCACGTCAGAGTCGGACCCGAGCCCAACCCCGGCCCCCGCGCCGCCGGCCCGCCTGCCGCCCCGCCACGTGTCACCCCCAGGACACGGCCCCGGGCCCTCCGAGGGGCGGGGAGGTCTCCGCTCCCCCGGGGTTCGGGGAGGCCCGATGCCCCCGCCCCCGGGGCCCGGGCCCTGACTGTCACCCCGCCTCGCCTGCAGCAAGAGCTACGGCAACGTGCTGGTGCTGGACGGGGTCATCCAGTGCACCGAGCGGGACGAGTTCTCCTACCAGGAGATGATAGCCAACCTGCCGCTCTGCAGCCACCCCAACCCGCGCAAGGTACCCGCCCCCCATTCAGCCCTGAGGCAGGGATAGGAAAGCCCCCCTCAGGGCCCCCTGGGCCGTGCTGGAGCCCAACGCCCCCCCTCCTCCCCCCCCTGAGCCCAGTCAGCCCAGCGCTTCCCAAAGGGTGTCAGGGGAAGGGCCAGCGAGGACCAGGGTGGGGTGGAGGTGAGGGGGAGAGGGGCCCCCTTGGCAGGGCTGGGAGCTGAAGCTCGGGAGGGAGTTTTTGGGAAAGGAGCAGCCCGGGGCCAGGTGCCTGGGAGGAGGAGGGGGGAATGAGGTCTGTCGGTCGGAGGAGCCAGGCTCACCCTGGCTGGAGGTGATTTGGGGTGATTCTGGGTGAGTGCACCTGCCCAGCAGCCTGTCGGGGCCTGTCTGGCGGGAGGGGGGGGCTGGCGCCGGGCCGGGCCCTGACTGTTCCTCCCTCCCAGGTGCTGATCATCGGGGGCGGGGACGGCGGTGTCTTGCGGGAGGTGGTGAAGCATTCCTCCGTGGAGTCCGTGGTCCAGTGCGAGATTGACGAGGTGAGTGCCCCGAGCAGGGCCAGGTCCCGGGTGCGAGCGCCCGCTCCGCACTGAACTGGCTGCGGAACCCTGGGCAAGTCCCGTAATCTCTCTCCCAGGGACTTAGTGAGCAGTCGGTGCGCCATCGGTGCTGGTTCTTAGTAAGATGGGGTGCTGGTTTTTAAAAATATATATTTTATTGATTTTTTTACAGAGAGGAAAGGAGAGGAATAGAGAGTTAGAAACGTCGATCAGCTGCCTCTTGCACACTCCCTACTGGGAATGTGCCCACAACCGAGGTACATGCCCTTGACCGGAATCGAACCTGGGACTTTCAGACCAACGCTCTATCCACTGAGCCAAATCAGTTAGGGCTGAGTGCTGGTTTTCAGTTGAAGCCCCAGGCAAGGCCCAAGGACATGTGACCATTAGGGCGCCCAGCCTGTCCTTTGTGACTGTCCAGTGTGAGGCAGCCGTTGCTCAGGTGCTGGGGTGCCGTGTGCAGAGGCAGATCAGTGCCTGTTGGAGCTGATGCTCTAGTTAAAGAGACAGCGCAGGGCGATATGTGATACAGGCGTGAGGCCGGCAGCGGTCCGAGCAGGCCTCCGCGAAGAGGCTGCAGCCTGAATGAGAAGCATCGGCACATGGAGGCAGGGACCACGGAGGCAGGGACCGGCTCTCTGATGGGAGCTGGCATTCCGCCTCGGAAATAGCAAGAAACCCCGAGATGGGGCGCGTGGGTCTAGGGGGGAGCGGGAAGAGTGGAGATTCAGCTGAGGAGCGTCCAGAGTGGCCCCCTCCCCCCCCCCCCCCCCCCCCCCCCCCGTCTTACAAATGTGGAAACCGGGGTTCCACGAAGCCAATGGCTGGCCCCAGGCTGCGGGGCCGTGAAAGGGTTAGACGGCTGGGAGTCCCGCTCGGCTCCAGCCCGGCCCGCCCCCTCCCAGGATGTCATCCAAGTCTCGAAGAAGTTCCTGCCCAGCATGGCCATTGGCTACTCCAGCTCGAAGCTGACCCTGCACGTGGGCGACGGCTTCGAGTTCATGAAACAGAACCAGGACGCCTTCGACGTTATCATCACCGACTCCTCGGACCCCATGGGTAAGCGAGGGGGGCCTGGGGCCCTACAGCGGCCACCTCAGGAGCCAGTCTCCCCCTGCTCCCCAGAACTAGCACAGTCCTTTCCCTTCTCAGTTGTCACCCCCCCCCCCCCAACAACAGCTCAGCAGAGCAGGGGGACCAGGCCACTCACTGCCCAAAGTTCACAGTTGCTTGGGGTCCAGCAGGGGAGTGGGGCGCTGGCCTTGGCCCACTGAGGCCCCAGGTACCTCTTCAGCCTCCTCTCTGCTCGGGACACGTCGGCATGGGGATGGGGTAGGTTCTCCTTTAAATCCAGGCCCAGGGTGGAGAGCCACCGGGCAGTGCCAGTGGGAACCCCCGGGAGTGGGTGCAAGTGCGCTTCCAGGGCTGGTTTCTGGGTGCCACAGGCCTGGGTTCAGGTCCCGGCTCTGCTCCTTGGCTGCTCTGGCTCCGGAGGCCTCAGCCAGCCCGCGCTCATTGCCGGTCCCTCCCTGCGCAGGCCCCGCCGAGAGCCTCTTCAAGGAGTCCTACTACCAGCTCATGAAGACGGCCCTGAAGGAGGACGGGATCCTCTGCTGCCAGGGTGAGCGCCGCCCGGAGCAGCCAGAGGCGCAGCGCGGCAGGTGGGGGGGTATAGGGGGGCTGGCCGGCCGCCAACCGCTGCTGCCCCCCCAGGCGAGTGCCAGTGGCTGCACCTGGACCTCATCAAGGACATGCAGCACTTCTGCCGGTCGCTCTTCCCCGTGGTGCGCTACGCCTACTGCACCATCCCCACCTACCCCAGCGGCCAGATCGGCTTCATGCTGTGCAGCAAGAACCCGGTGAGCTGCTGGCGTCCTGGCCGGGGGGGCAGGGGCAGGCGGGCCCGGAGAGCACTCCCCTGACGCCCCCTCGCCCGCCCCACCCCAGAGCACCAACTTCCAGGAGCCGGTGCAGCTGCTGACGCAGAAGCAGGTGGAGCAGATGCAGCTGAGATACTACAACTCCGACGTGCACCGGGCGGCCTTCGTCCTGCCGGAGTTTGCCCGCAAGGTGAGCCCCGGGGGGCGCGGGGGCTGGAAGGGGGGACCCAGGGCTTCCTGGGGCGCTCGCCCCAGCCCCCAGGCGACCCACTATCCTCCTGACCAGCCTCACGTCCCACCAGGCCCTGAACGATGTGAGCTGAGCCCAGATGCTGCTGCCGACACCGGCCTGGACCTCGGGCCAGGTGGCCTGGACAGGACCCCAGCCGGAACCCCGACAAGCAAGTGTTACAGCCCCAGGATGCTGCCCGCCCGCCCGCCCCGCTGGCGGACTGTCTGTCTGCGGTGTTCCGCTCCAAGCCTCTGCCAGCTGTGTACAGCCCCTCCGCCCCCTGTCACCCCCCTCCCCAAACACATGTATTTATAGCAAATGTCCGCATCGTGTGTTCCCAGACCTTCAATGGGCCCAGGCAGGGGCTGCAGCAGCCATTGCTGGCGTCTGTGTGCCGGGCTCCGAGCTGGACCCGTGTCTGACCTGCCTCTGTGACAGGCAGGCCTTGCCCTCCCGTGCAGCCCCGGACCAGCCCCTTGGCCACTGGCACCAGAGGCACAGCAGGCACCAAACTGCACTCCAGTCTCCCCGAGTGGGGTGCCCACAGGCCCCACAGCGGGTGGTGACCGACCCCGGGGCCAGGGCTGTGGGGTGACAAGATGGAGGCGGGCTGCCCCAGCTGCGCTTTCTCCTGGGGCTTCCCAAGGTGATGGCGGCCTGGGAGGACTGAGGTCCCAGCGGGGTGGGGCTGGAGGTGGCTCCCGAGGGTTTGGGTACAGTTATGGGCCTGCTGGAAGCTCATCCGCTGCCCTGACTTGGCTCAGGGTTCAGACTCCGGTTCCCACCCTGCCTGCCCCGCTCCCGGTGCCCTCTGGGAAATTCCTGGAAGCTCCCCCAAGTGTTGAGGTTGAGAAAGCAGGTGTGAGTGGCCGCTGGGGACCGTGCCCTCTCCATGGTGCTGAACGCTCTTCCAGCCGGTTCCCCGGGCGCCTCACCCCTCCCAAAGGCCCGGCTGAGACTGGTGTGGGGAGAGGAGCCACCACTGACTGCAGGGTGCGGACTCGAGGAGAGGGCCTGTGCCCACTCCCGTCCCAGCCAGCATTCCAGAGGCACTGCCAGGGGATGGACTGCTGGGAAGCTTGCGGGCAGGGAGTGGGTCCAGGCTGGGGGTGTTGCTAGAACACTCCCCAGCCACACCCACACCCCAGGCAGCTGCCTAGGGCCCATGCAGTAGGTTCTGGGACTGTAGTTCTGGGGGCGAGCCAGCATCCCGATTTTCAGCCAACTCCTGAGTAGCCCCAAGCCAGTCCATCCTCTGGGCTCCCCCAACCTGGGCCTCACCCCCAGGAGCTCACTGGGCTCAGCACGGGTGTGTGACCTTGGTCAGCAAGTTGGACCCAAGCCCTCCGCATTCCGCCTTCCAGTCCCAGGACAGGCTTGACCCCCCCTCAGCAGCCAATAGCACACGCGCCCCAGGGTCTCCCACTCCTGGGGAGGCCCCGAGATCCCATTGGGCTCCTCTGGGCTGCAGTTTGTGCATCAAAGGAACACGCAGTGGCTGGTGAGAGCTGATCCATCTGGTCTAACTCCAACCTTAGTGCCACCTGTGGGGTGGGCACTGCTCTCCCCTCCCTCGCCCGCACAGGAGGACGAGCTGACCAGCTAGGAAGCGGGCTGGGGAGGGCACGCCTGCCTCCCTGAGGGCAGCCCAGGGGGCAGGTGGACAGGGGGAGGGCCCATCTCAGAGGGCTCCAGCTGGGCCTGCGTCTCTGCTGCCTGGGTTACCCCACCTGCCGCAGACTCCACTGGGAATCCTGCCTCTCATCGCTGAGCTCTGGAAGGTCGATGGCCTCGGCAGAGGACCAGGGAGCCAGCCGGGTGGTGGAAATGCCCCCCCCCCCCCCCCCCCGGCAGCAGAAGTCTGCCACGCCGTCCCTCCACTTCCCAGCTCTTAAACCCAAGTCCCCTGCACACGCACGCACCCCTTGAGGGGTTTCCCGTCTGGGTGGGCATCACCTGCTGAAGCAGAAGCAGGGGGTTTGGTGAGGACACGACCTGAGTCCCCTAAAGTCCCAGAAGTCATGGCGAGGGACTGAGACATGGTTTGTCCCAGGGAGATTAACCGGAATCCCATCTCAAAGTTTGAAGTTTAGTTCTCGGAGTCGGCCATTCCCCTGTGAGCACCAGGCGGATCCTTAGGAGAAACCGCAGCCCTGTGCCCACTTCCTCCCCAGAGGCAGGCCGCTGGCCTCGGTGTTCACGCTGCGTCTGCCCAACAGGCTGGACCTGCTGTCCTACCTGGGCTTCCACGGGGGATGATGAGGTCATGCCTTCCCCTTCCCCGCTCCCCCTGCTCACACTCCCGACAATTACATGTGACCTGGGTCAGCTCTGTCGGCTGCATGACGGCCATCGGCCGCTGAGGCAAGTCAGGGTCACTTTCTCTCCTCCCACAGCTTCCTTTTTCTCCCTCGAGGTTTTTTGGGGACTTTTTCCTATGCTTAGTTTGCAATACGTTTATCACTTGTTTAACCTCAGACTTTTTTTTTTTAACCAATTCTCTAAAGCTTTTAACACATGTGGACACACTTCCTGAAGGTCTGAACAATATGCTAATCAATCCATTTTTGAATAGGCGATCTCAGTATTTTAGCCCCATTTTGACTTATAACTAATTTTTGATTACATCGAATGGGATATTCAGTAACTGGAAATACTAATACACACAATGTGCATTGCTTTATTAAAATGATTTGTACCATAATGTATATATCACTTTCATTTAGGGGAGAAAGAGCAATTACTAAAAAAAAATTGTTTTAAAAGATCTTCTGACTCAACAAGCGTCTGTCATTTTCCTCTTCCTGAAGGATCGGTCTAGAGGTTTCCAACTGCCGCTAATGGGATTCCCTGTTCCGAGCGCTGTGTCTGGGGCCCCATGACTTCCTTTCTTATTTGCTCCCTCGTTTTGATGGGGCATATCCTAGAGCAGCTCTCTGAGGGGGGACAATTGGATGCAAATCTGTAAAACTCTGACATGCATGAAAAGGTCTGTTCCGACATGTGTGATGGGTAGGAACAGAAGATTTAGAAATAATCTTCCTTCAGCATTTTGAGATGTGCTCTTTTCCATTTTTATTTTTTAAAATACTTTCCTTTTTATCTTTTTAGTCCTCACCCAGGGGTATTTTCCCATTGGTTTTTAGAGAGAGGAGAAGACAGAAACATTGATCTGAGAGCATTGATGCTGGTGCCTCCTGCACGAGCCCTGATCAGGGCCGCAGTGGGGAGGAGCCTGCAACCAAGGTGCCTGCCCTTGACTGGAATCAAACCCAGGACCCTTCAGTCCACTGAGCCAAACCCATTAAGGCTCATTTTTATTTATTATGTTTAAATCCTTTATTGCCCAGTAGGCATGGCTCAGTGGTTAAGCATTGACCTATGAAGCAGAAGGTCATGGTTTGATTCCCAGTCAGTGCACATGCCCGGGTTGCAGGCTCAATACTCAGTGAGGCATGCAGGAGGCAGCTGATCAATGATTCTCTCTCATCGTTCTCCCCCCCACCCCCCACTTTTATCCCTCTTCTTCTCCCCGCTTCAACTATGAAATACAAAAATATATTTAAATATTTTTATTGATTTCAGAGAGGAAAGGGGGCCTCTTTTCTGTTTTGATTAGTCATCCATTGCTGCCTTTGAAATGAGCCCCGGGCCCAGTGGGGCTCTCGGGAGCCTGACGCTGTGTCCTTACTCCCTCTCAGACGTGTGTCTTCACTTTCCCTTCCTGGACTCAGAGGGTCTCCGTGAAACTGGCAACCAGGGAAGCAAAGGGCAGCAGCGGCTCGTCCCAGGCTTGCCTGCTGCTCCACCTCCAAGGCCCCTTTTCTCTGACTGCAGGGTGCTGACAGCAGCCTCACCTCGGCTCCCTTCTTTCCGGTAACATTTCTAGGGTCCCAAAGCAGAGCCCGCCTGAGCTCTCTCCTGCTGCTGCTTCTGTTTGAAGCCCTTCCTTGGTTTCACTGTCCCAGCTTTAATAAATGTTCTCTCAAAATTAAAATCCATATATAAAAGCCAAGGGACGGGAATGCTGGAACGACCAGAATGACCGGTCGCTGTGATGCACACTGCAGCTGGCCAACCACCCGATGGGGGTGGGGTGGGGGAGCGGCTCCTTTCCCTGGCAGCCTGACCAGCTTGGGGGCGGGGCCGGTGGCCCCCCGGCCTGATTGGGGTGGGCCGGCCAGACTCCATCGGTGCACGAGTTCCTGCAATAGGCCTCTAATAAAGAGTATCCTGTTCTTTTTTCTCTTTTTTTTCCTCTGAAGGTAATAATGATTGTTTTGCTTGGGTTTGGGTCATTTTTTTTTCTTTCTTTTTTTAATACATTTTATTGATTTTTTAAAGAGAGGAAGGGAGAAGGATAGAGAGTTAGAAACATCAGTGTGAAAGAAACATCGATCAGCTGCCTCTTGCACACCTCCTACTGGGGATGTGCCCGCAACCAAGGTACATGCCCTTGACCAGAATCGAACCTGGGACCTTTCAGTTCGCAGGCCGACGCTCTATCCCCTGAGCCAAACTGGTTTCAGCTGGGTCATTTTCTTTAAAAAAAAAAAAAATATATATATATATGTGTGTGTGTGTGTGTGTTTATATGTATTGTGTGTATGTGTATGTGTAATGTATATGTATGTGTATGTGTATGTGATGTGTATATGTATATGTATATGTATATGTATATGTATATGTATATGTATATGTATATGTATATGTATACTAGAGGTCCAGTGCATGATATTTGTGCACTGGGGGTTGGGTTTCCTCAGCCCAGCCTGCACCCTTTCACAGTCCAGGAGCCCTCAGGGGACGTCTGACTGATGTCTGCCTGATGGGGAGCAGACCTGAGCCACAGCTGGACATCCTTAGGGCTGCTGTGGAGGTGGCTGCTCCACTGGCCATCCATCAGCTGAGCCATCAGCCCAGCCTGTGGCTGAGTGGCACTCCCCTGTGGGAGCACACTGACCACCAGGGGGCAGCTCCTGCATTGAGCATCTGCCCCTGGTGGTCAGTGCACATCATAGCGACCATTGTTCCACCATTTGGTTGATTTGCATATTACCCTTTTATTATATAGGATTTTTACAAATATATTTTTGCCGAAACTGGTTTGGCTCAGTGGATAGAGCGTCGGCCTGTGGAGTGAAAGGTCTTGGGTTCAATTTTGGTCAAAGGCATGTACCTTGGTTGTGCAGGAGGTGGCAGGTCGATGTTTCTCTCTCATCGATGTTTCTAGCTCTCTATCCCTCTCCCTTCCTCTCTGAAAAAAAAATCAATTATATATATATATATATATATATATATATATATATATACACACACACACACACACACACACACACATATATATATATATATATATATATACACACACACACACACACACACATATATATATATATATAATTTCAGAGAGGAAGAAACATCAGTGGTGAGAGAGACATAATTGATTAGTTGCCTTCTGCACGCTTCCCCAACACCCGCTAATGGGGATTGAGCCTGCAACCTGGGCATGTGCCCTTGACTAGAATCAAACCTGGGACCCTCAGTCCACAGGCCGATGCTCTATCTGTTGAGCCAAACCAGCTAGGGCTTAAATATATTTTTATTGATTTTAGAGAAAGGGGGGGGTGAGAGACATCAATGAGGAGAATCGTTGACCAGCTGCCTCCTGCACGCCCCACGCTGGGGATGGAGCCCACACAGCCTGGGCCTGGGCCCCGGCTGGGAAGCACACTGTGACCTCCTGGTTCATGAAGCTCGACCTCTGAGCCGCCACCCGGGCGGGGGCATTTCCTCCTCCCTGCTTGCTTTCTGCATTCTCCAGTTGGTTGATTTTTAAAAATCTTGCTCACATTTGCGGTATTCCCGGGGTAACTAACCCTTGAATGCTCTGCTCACTCGTCAGCGTGGGGACTCACAAGCTCAGCCCCTGGATGGGGCTTGTCCATCGACCTGCACTGTGGGTGACAGAGGCTGAGCCATCGCCCGAGGGACCTTCAGAGTCAGTGTCCAGGTCCTGGCCCCGGGGCTGGCCACACTCCCCGGAGAAGAGGAGGAGCCGGGAGCCGCCAGAACCCAGGAGCTGAGGGAGGAGGCAGGCTGGGCTCTCCGTGCCAAGTCTGTTTGCCTACCCCTTGGTTATCCGCCTCCCGCTCCCTTCGGCTGGGCCCGGGACCCTCCACTGCAGCCGGAGGGAGCGGGGACAGATAACCAAGGCATGAGAACCATTTCCAGCCCTGGCCAGGTGCTCAGTGATTAGTGTCCACCAGCGAACCCCGGGGTCACAGGTTCGACTCTCAGGAGTGTGGGGCGTCTGGCTCCTCGCACGGTTCCCATCCACACGGGCCACTTTCTCTGGCAGAAAGAAGAAATGGGGCCCGAGTCTCCGCAGGTGGGGACGGGCAATAGGAATCAGCTGGCTCTGACGCTTCCAGAGGACTGGCTGCCCCCGAGCTGGGCCTGTCCCGCTGCGGCCGGCTCAGAGCTGCCTTCGGGAGATGTTCGCACCCGTCCACCCGCTTGTCCAGCCTCCAGGGCGCGGGTGCCCCCCCCCCCCTCCCGCCTGCACTCAGGTGTTGCGTTTTATTTCTGTGTTGGGTTTCAGGTGTTTCACAGCAGGACGGCGCGGGGGAGGGGAGAGAAGCAGGTGGCTGTGTTCCTCCCGGGAGCCTCACGGAGACCTGGGCGGCCAGAGACCCCGCTGGGAGGGAACACGGAGGCGGAGGGAAGGGGCAGAGCCAGGACCCGTCCCCGGGGCGGGCTGCCCAGCAGGTCAGCCTCTGGCTCCCGGCCTGGCCTCCCCGCCCGGCGATCGGGCCGGCCGGAGTCACCGGGCCGATTCCCAGAATCCCAGGGGCAGAGCGGGGGCAGGAGCCGCTGGACAAACAGACCAAAGGTGAGCCTGTGCGAATGCAGACCGGGCCTGGCCAGCGGACGGCGCACCATGAGGTGGGTGGGAGCCCCCGCAGCTCCCTGGCCGGGGGAAGGGTGGCAGCAGGCCCCCAGGCCCTCACCCCCCCCGTGCCCCCCCTGTGCCCCCCCCCCCCAGGCTGCTGATCCTGCTGGGCCTGCTTTGGGGCGCGGCGGCCGCCCCCGGGGCCGCCCAGTGGCCGCAGCCCGTGTTCGGGCGCCTGGCGTCGCCTGGCTTCCCGGGGAGGTACCCCGACCACCAGGAGCTGCGCTGGGCCCTGACGGCGCCCCCCGGCTACCGCCTGCGCCTCTACTTCACCCACTTCCACCTGGAGCTCTCCTACCGCTGCGAGTATGACTTCGTCAAGGTGCCCACGGGCCCCCAGGGCTGGGCGCGGGGATGGGCCCTGGGAGGAGGCAGGCCTAGGGGGGCGGGCAGGCCTGGGGGGGCGGGCAGGCCTGGGGGGGGGAGCAGGCCTGGGGGGAGGGCAGGCCTGGGGGGGGAGCAGGCCTGGGGGGGGGCAGGCCTGGGGGGAGGGCAGGCCTAGGGGGAGGCAGGCCTGGGGGG